CCCCCCCACGCCGCTGCCTCCTGCAACTTCCTAAGAGACGAAATTACAAAAAATCCAAAAGCCTCGTTCCGACTCAAGAGGCTCGAAGCCTTGAGAGGTAACGATAGGAGCTTCTTTCTTAAAGTCTCGTGTTCTACTTCCTCCCCTCGGCCCCTCTCCTATTCCTTGTTACGAGGGATAAGGATTAGGGGGGCTGCGGTAGTGGGGAAGGAGGGGGGAGGGGGACTTTTACACCGACATTATTACCTGACTCCCCGTAATTTCGTGCTGCCGACAAGAACCACGCTTTATTACCTTTATTACGTCTAACAGGCACTGTGTCGCCGTGTCGCCGTGTAGCCACATGGGGATGTTCCTATATGCGTGTGTATATATATATTTCATTCACACCCTAGAGGGAATATCCAAGCTGCCTTTTATTCTCGTCCCCCTATTTTTCTGCGATTTTACACCAAATCCCCTCTACCCCCTCTGACGTCCCCTATCTTCACGCTCATCACTCGATAAAATCCACTTTCACTTTTGATCGACGCACCGCGTCTTGCTGGTTTCATGCGTATCGTGCCCTACGTGCCCTACGTGCCCTACGTGCAGCAGGAGCCCTTTTGTCGCGATCCCATTTATCGACCTGAAATTTCTCTCGGTACGTTTCCACGCGAGACTTCGCTACTACCCACCAGTGGCTCCTTTGGGTCGGTAGGACCTTTTTGGCTGTGCTTAATGGCCCTTTGTTCGCCTCCTTGTCTTCTCGTTAGATCATTTCTGGTATTATTGGGTCTTTTTCGAGTCGACCGAGATATTTCTTAGGTTGGGTGAAAAGCAAACAGTTTTCTCAATCGGCGTTTCGTTATGGGCAAATGAGGATGTAAAATCCTTTTTTTTTTTAATGCTCCTTTATTTCAGACGTTATCAGTTAAAGTAATATGGGAGCAGCGTTGCCGTCTGATTACTTTGTCTTTGAAATTTTGGGAAATTACTTTTTTTTTTATCGCCCCAACAGGTTTGGCTGTACGATTCGTGAAGGGAAAAATTCCGATGTTTTTCTTTGTCCGTTGATAATTTTGCTAGGTGAAGTCAGTTTGGAGTATTTAAAAGAAAAACAATATCTTGAGGATGGAACATTTCTCGTCTGTTGAAAAAGAAAAAGAAAAAAACTTGAAGTACGTTTTTCTAACATGTGTGCTAACAGGGTGATTCTGTTTACGAAAGTCGGGACTGGCTTTCTCGGTGTCGAATGTTTGCGCAAATCGCAAATAGAAATGACGGCTTGAAAGCCAAAGTTGTCGTAGTCGGTCGGCGTCGTCGTTTTCTATACATATATACACACACTATCCGTACTTGTTCATTCTCAAGGAACACTTGGTGCATTTTCCCTCTCCTCGTTCTCCCGTAAAACAAGCAAGATGCTTGAGTAAAGAAGTAAAAAAGGAATTCAAGAGAAAAATAAAAAGTAAAGGCCAAAAAAGTTGTAGAAAAAAAAAAAGTATGATTTACGCGCAACATGAATCACTACTTTGCCGTAATTCTCGAAGCGTGTATTAAAAGTGGGGAAAGGAAGGTGCATTCACATGGCGCGTACATGACGCGATCCTCTTATCGTCTGGGGGCACCGAGTAGTATCAGGGGTCACTAGGTAAAGAACAAACGTACATATGTTATTATCGTAAGTATGGAGAATTTCTCAAGTGGAAAGAAGCCTCCGGATTATCGGAAGACTTTGCGGCGACATTTAAATTATTTTCCAGAATGGCGCACATACCGATATTCTACTTCGTAGCATGGGCTACTGTTCGCAATGAGCACCTTTCCAGAGAACTACACGTATGTACACAAATGTTTTTCTCGAATTTACCAACAACTCGATATTATATCTGATGATTCACACGTGTCTCTCGACTACGGATTATCCGTGGAAAAATAAATGGAAGGTATTTTGATTTTGAATTAAAAAAAAAAATTTTGGAGGCGCCGGGTATCGATCCCGGTACCTCTCGCATGCTAAGCGAGCGCTCTACCATCTGAGCTACGCCCCCGATATGTAATACTCGTCTCCTTCAGTCACCTTCTTAAGGTATTACAAATCGATTAAGATTACAAGTGACGTATGGCAATATTATATTTACGATAGATAAAAATGAACGTATAAAATTCTAAGATATAAGTGCACGCAGACCACTCTCTATCTGAAATGAGTCACTGCTGGGTCAGTGAGCATGTGTGTCATGCCCCTCTTGCGATTGGCGGTAATCGTAATGAATCACAATGATCAGCACGTTAGCGTTTACAGCCAGTGTCCATTACTCGATTTTCAATTGTGCAACTTTCTTTTCCGGTCTTTCACGCTGCACGAGTATACCCAACATGCCATTACTCTGCCATAGAGGTAAATATATATTCTTACGTGCACCGTGTGTGCTTAGGATTCTCACGTTTGCCAATCCCTAACCTCTCTAACAAGCAGACCTTCGGTACTGGTATCTTGTCGATTGTAAAACAACCTGTATTATCCTGAGGGAAATCGTCTGGCGCTCCTCTACAACTATTTATTATTCATGGCTCTCGGCATACATGTATAATCGATAATCAATGAATACAAAGTATTAATTATCGTTATTTCAATACAGAGCAACACACGTGTTTTGAAGAGTCTCCAAATTTTATCGAGGCGTCGATCGGTTATGTTATTAAAAAAAAATTAAAAAAACAAGAGAAACCATACAAAGAAGTGAATAACGTCACTACGTGTCGCAACGTACGTTGCACCAGCAAGGTGCAGCAGGCGTCTGAATCTCCTAGAGAGTTCTTATAACCTTTAACCCAGTTACTGGGACACGATTGGTCGCCGGTGGCGTGGTGGGGGGTGAATCAATCCCGTATACGTTTGCCCACTGAGAGAGGCGCCGGAGATGACTGTATACAGTGAACTCCAGTAGGTAAGGCCAGAAGTGGATAATTTTCATCATCCAGCTACTCGGCTTTCAGCACAAAGAGAAAGAGGTTATTAGTCTGCGGATCCGCCATACGTTGCGGACGCACCTTGCCGGTTCTGTACAGCCCAGGAGAAGCTGAACGACGTCTGTTGTAACGGACGTTGAAGGATCGAGGGAACGACGGAGGTGGACAAACTCGCGCTCGGCAACCCGCTCGAGTGAGATGAGGCGGTTGAGCCCAGTTGAGGTTGGGGTGGACTTCCCAGTGCCGGCTCTATAATTGTATATACGTGGCCGTGCCATAACGAGAGGCGTTTTCCCGAGCGTTGACCCCTCGCGCTTCTAATACTAACCTCGCCCAACACTCCCTCCTCTTTCACCTTCTCGAACATCACGGGAATACTAAATAATCTGAAACCTGCACATTGCTGGGTCGTGGACGATGGTGACTCTGTCCGTGATCAACGGTGCTTCCTTGTGTTTTTCCTTTTTTTTTTCTCTTCTTTCTTCTTTTACCCACTGGCACAGCTGAGAAGGAAGCAGATGATGACGTGTGTTTATGTATGAATGGTTTACGGTAATTTTCATCTATAGATTCTATACGAGTATCGCTTTGATATAAATGGACTTTATCCGTGCAGCGATAACGGCTGATCTTAAGGGAAATTATACGTCTTTACATTGTCAAGGATTAATATCCAGTACTTGAAACGTCTGTCTGCTGCGGTATCGCGATAAATCCAGGGAGTTTGTTAGTATCGATAAAAATATCTGGTTGGTAACGTCTAGCTAGAAATTCTCGGAAGGTACTTGGAATCTACCGTAATAAAGTACTATACTCGTGTGCGACGTTATCGATTGAATTAGTATGTAATAATTGACATAATGTCGAATGGAGGAGTGGCCGGTGGGCAAAGCAATTTTAAACGTATTCATGAAAATAATAATTTTTGGATACCTGTTTTTAACGACTTGCCATATGCTGAGGTGTTGACACGTATGTTATTTGTTTTTAAGATGTGCGTCAAATCCCAGATGGTGTCGTGGGTGTTGGTCTTTTGTTCGTCTAGGATCTCGTGACTTTGAACAGGACAAAATTGTCCACTTGACACGACTACGTTGTCCAAATGGGTCACGGGACTACCTGAGGGAAAAGCGTGAGGATATTAAAAAGAAAGAAAATTAATTAAATGTTGTCATGTTAATTGTTAAGAATAAAAATAAACAAAAGGAACGGACGCCGTTTTCGATCGCGAATCTTGCGGTGACTTTCACTACGACTCCTCGTCCAGTTTGTTTTACGAGACTTTTTCACGCAGGGCACTGACTTTACTAATGACTTCATGTGCATTGGCCTTAATGCGTATCAGCGACACTGTTTTTCCCTGAGTACTGTTTACGGCAACGCGTTACGACGTGACTGTTGTGTCACTAGAAAATGCTTCCACAGTCGGTACGAAAATTTTCTCTTTTGTTAGAATGACGATGGGACGATTTTTGATAAATCGATTAATTATTCTAATCACTTACTGGGCTGCCAATGTCGAAATTCTTGTGAAATACACGCTCGTAGGGTTCGAGAATCCTTGTATCCTTGAGACGTTGGTAGACAAAGGGATTATGATTTTTCTCAAGCAGAGGTCACTAGGTTTATTCATTTACGCACAGGATCTGTCGGTATGTTAATGAAGGATAAGAAAAATGAAATCGCCAAATTCTTTTACGAGGTGATGATTACTTATCAAGCAGTCGTTGAAGCAATCCGATATAGGTGTGAACGGTAACTTGTTAACGGCAACACTAAATATATTTTTTATCCCATTTGTACAGCGGTGGACATTTATTACGAGTCTTCCAATAGACGAGAGTCAATATGGCCGTTGAAGTAACAGAGAAATGAAAAATTGTCAACTACCGACGAATCGACGGAACCAGATTGCAGCGTGCCGGTCGCCCAATTTTCTCGGGTAGGAAGGAGATATTTTTAGAACGGCTAGTAACTCTGTTGCTAAGGCATCAGCTGATCCGAGCCGGCCTACCGTGGCGCTTCAGGACCGTATCGGTATGGCAGAGCACCAGGTTCCACTTGGTAACTCAAGAATCCTCCTCGAGCCGTTCGTTGTCTGTTACGCAATTGGGACATAAAAGCTTGTCATTAACATCCCTGCGAAAATGTCTGACGTCATTTTCAAAAAGACAGGATTCGCTTATTTCGCAATTTTTTCTCTAGTGTCAACGCATAGAGTACGTCTGGGAAATACGTTACTGCCGACCAATAGGAAGGAGTGAACAGTTTCCCCCACTATTCTACCGGCTCCTACTCCCAACACTATAGCCGGCCAGATGATCGCATGTCGGCTGCTAGCGGCACCGGCCGTCAGTTAGCAACCGGCGCTCTCACGGTGTAGACTTCTTTGTATCGTAGCTCCTCGTAATGTTCAGCGTAACCTGAGCCCGTGCCTAGTGCCCTGGTGAATGCTACTTTTCTCGTATTAATATTTTTTTCTATGTCAAGACACCGTCAGCAGCGTATAATAAGACACGTGATAAACAATATTAGTATAGTATCGATATTATAACAGAATTCGGCTTTCGAAAAGAACGTGACAACGAGATCGTCTGTGATATGACCGATAGTTTCGTACCGATTCCGTTTAAATGTTATAATTTTCGGACGTCTTATTCATACCAGTGATAACCACTTCTGCCACACGTACAATAGAGAGTACAGACATCATTTACGCAGACAGTCGTTACTTCTATACATTTATACGTTAATCTCAAGAGGATAGTGTCTTTCTTTCTACGAAGATATACACGTACCCTGTCTCTAAGTTAGTCGTTAATACATTTATTTTAAATATCCAATGACTCGCGCTCCTAATTCCTACTGACAACGACGTTGAACATCACACCAGTGTTAGATAGTGCGATTATTAAAATTCATCGAAATTCCTGTGGCGCAACAAGAGGACGAATACCCAGAGGCGGATACGATCGAGTACGGTAGTGCCGCCAATATGGGTCAAATCGGAAATGACGTAAGTTTCATGAAAATATTCTTTCAAATTTCTCAGCCTATGTCGTCCTACGAAAGACAGTGTAGCTCTGTAAGGTGAATAAGCATCTTTCTGATGCAACTCTTCTTTCTTCTGACTTCATGTAAACGCATCTGCTCTACATTATATATTTCACAAATATATACATTGTTTGTTCTTCAAGAAAAATCTAGAAGATAAAATTGTTGAGAATACCAATAAATTTTTTTTTTTCGTCACTTCTAACAAATGATACATCATGCACATGGCAACTGTCTCTCATTGCGTAGTGACTGAAAAAGGGATACAGGAGGGATGGCCGAGTCTGAGCTACCCTGTGTCTAAATGTTATTGAAATTTTAAATTTTCGGACGCGTAATCCTCATTGCTGTTTCTCGTCTACCCACAACGTGCCGTGTTATTCGTAAATCTTTCTAGCGAGCGATTATCGCGTTGAAAACTCAACTTCGGGCCAATTGTTCCTCTCTCGCTGCGTTTTCCAGAGAGCCTCTTTATGCGCGTCTCCCTTTGTTACGAAGCGCTACTGCCAGTAGCCTCCCCTCCCTTCCTCCGAGCCCCGACTTTACGATCCATACGTGGAGCAGCGAAGTTTCGACCCTCTCAGTTTCGTTGGGTTGTCTCGTGCACGTTTTCGTCATTCCGCCGCGATTTATCGGACGTATAAATTTCACAACCCCAGCGGATAATCACCACTCGAATGCTATCCACTTTAGTTACTCGCCGTTTCAATGAAACTTTCCTACCCCTCTAGAAAGCCTCGCGAGCGATATCAACCCTCTGCATGGTAGATTATGGGTTTATTTTGTTTTTATGGTTTTCAGCTCGAGTCTGTTTGTCCGTATGGGATATTCGTAAATATACGATCGAATTCTTTGACAATAAAATAAATTTGCTCGCCTATGGCACCGTAATTAGGCTCGCTAGCGTGATTGCTACGAGTCGATTTCCTAGTTATCTCTCATTACTTATCAACGGGACAATGTTTTTTTGTTCGGTAGTACAAATCTAAACGGAGGCATCGAGTGCATTGCCATAAACGCTATTTGCATACGAACGACGTCTTTTTGTCTTTTTCTCTTTCCGTTCATCCAGCCCGGTCGTTGCTCGCCGTTTCAGTTTCTAGAAACTTTGAGCTCCGAGTCTCTCGGCCGGATATGAAAAAGACGATGGATGCCATTAAAATTCCCACGTAGAATCACGTGGATATGATTCCTAATACTCGATCGTGCATCTTTGTCGTCTCTTTCGTCTCTTTCGTCTCTTCTATCAATTAGGCAGACGTTCCATTGTTTTTCTCTCTCTGCGCCCGAGTCCCGCTTACGAACGGACGAGGACGAGTCTACCGCGCATGATCGATGCTCCCGCTTCTATTTTTATTATTTTTGAATTTTTTTCTTCTCTTCGTCCTTTCTTCCACGATGGATCCAGATTGCAATCTCGGAGATCGTTTTCCGCGATGGCAACCGGTTTTTTTTGTAGATTCGTGCTTAGAATCTTGTTTATGTGCGGTCATAAATTTTATTATACTCTCTCTCTCTCTCTTTCTCTCTCTCTCTCTCTCTCTCTCTCTCGCTCTCTCTCTCTCTCTCTCTCTCTCTCTCTCTCTCTCTCTCTCTCGTTCCATCGTTTCTCCATTCCTACCAGCAGTGAGATATCACGGAATCTTCGCTTCGTGATTAAGGTCGTGCTGTGTTTCCGTTACGAACAGAGATAAAGGGAATATAAAGAAAGCAAGTAGGGAAGATAAAAGAATATAGGCGAAACTAAATGGCCCCGTTCGATGTCTCGGTACGACGAGCTCACCGGAAAAGAGCCCGGTCGAATTAATTCATGGGGCAAAAAGGGAGGGCGAAGAAAGGACAAGGCGACGGTTGTTTCTGGCTCTGCCCAAGGAAACGGGAGAAATACCTAAGGCACCCGTAGTTCACCTAGGACGTTCTAGACGCACCGTTTCGGGGGCTTTTCCCTTCTCCGAAGAATGCTCCTGCTTCTCGGAGGTGACGATCGTTTGGACCGTTCCGAGGGTTCGGAGTCCATGCAGCATCCTCCCCAGCGGCGTTGCTCTCGATGCGGGTCTCCATGAACACACATACAGATATACACGTTGCTCGGAACCCATCCCTGTTAGAAAGTCATTTTTTATGGCGTTGCTTAGGGACCGGTTATTCCTCGCGGCTTGTGTTGCCTTCGAGCCACGTAATTGGTCGGCAACCGATACGCCTCGAGTTCTCGTATTGCTGGAATTAAAATGTAGCATCGAGCTCGTCTTTGACCCCGTTAAGAGAAAAGTGGAGGATCGGGTTGAAGCGTTGCGTAAAATAATTTGGGAAGTTGCGGAGAGCAACGAAAAAGTCGAGGGAGGCAGAGGAGGTGGATATTTTTTTAGGACACCCGTTTTTTTTTTTTAATACCAATTCGTGAAGGAACCCATCAAAGTGTCCGGAGCGTCTAGGACATTCGGGTCGTAGGTCACGGAGAACGTAGAACCAGATGACTGTGAATTGTGGAGATCGTACGACAGCTCGACGAATAGGTAAACAACGTGGAATGTATACGTATCCATATTGGAATTCAGTGCAATCGCTTCCTGGGTGGAGGAGCGTCGGCCTGAATCGGCCTTTGTCCTCGGTGCTTCGTTCCGAATCGGCCAGTGGGACAGACAACGTCGAAAGTCACGTGCTGCTCCTGATAATCGATACGGTGACGTCAGCGGCTCGGGTGAGCCAATGGGAAGCGAGCCCGGCAAGCAGCCCAGTCGACTGATAACAAAGAGCATCGAACTCCCAAGTTTTTCTTTGTTCGTCTTTTACTTGCATTTTTTTTCGGGAAATCTCGAAAAATTATTTTTCACGAATCTTTTTCTTCATTCGCGTTCCGCTTCGTTCGAGATTAGCTTCGTGACCTGTGGACCGAACGGGCGTCGATTTCACGGAATTGCCTGTTTCGTTTTTTTTTTTATTTTTATTTTTTTTTTTATTAATTTCTTAGGGATTTTTCGGTTTTGGCGAATTTTTAGTATTTATTTTTTTTTTTTAATTTATTACGACTGTTCCTAATGACGTGACTGTGATTGTTTGCGTCGTATACTGGTCATCGATACGGAGCTGGATGCTCTGTAAAAAAAAAGTGTGGGAATGGCGAATCGCAAGTCGCAAAATCACTCGGGGACCAATACACTGCCGTTAGCACGGACGCGGACTCATACGTGGAGACCATTGAAATGTCAAGGTAGTCCCATAGTTGGTTTTACGACTTTCCCAACTGGACGTAGATCGACGGCGACGGCGCCGGAAGCTCTCGGCGCCTTTTCTCCGCTATCTCTCACAATCTCCTTAGATATCCTCGTATCCTTCGCTTAGTCCTTTTTCACTATAGATTTTACACTTTGCCCCCCCCCCCTCTCTCTCTCTCTTCCTTCGCACCGAACGTCACGTTACTTAACGAAATGGCTTATCATAAACTCTGCCGTCTCGTTACGTCATCATGTTCATCCCCGTACTCCTGTACTGAAAAAAGAATTAAGTCACGGTTGCGCAACAACAGTCTCGACGATCGGATCGTCCATTTCGACAATTGACATCTTTTGTGTTTCAAAGGTTCCCGAAGCTGCCGTCGGGCGGCGTGTAAAATTCCGGAAAACCTATGTGGAACATCCACGTGGAGTCCGTTCGTTAGTGTTTCACGTTGGCTTCGTCCTCTTCTTTTTCTTTTCCCTATATCAGATATATAAACGGTATCCGTGGTTTCTATTTGTAGGTCGGTATTATAAGCGGCATGAAAAAAAGACCATTTAGACTCCTCTTGCCTCAGCAGCTACCAACGCCAATAAATTTCGTAACTTCCCGTACCGATCTACCCGCCTGTCCTGACTTACTTGACACCCCTCCCCCCCCGCCCCCCTCGAGCTTATAAATAGCGATCTAGCTCCCACGTGCTTCCATGTACACACTGCCGTGCTCGGCCGCGCACGCACGTGCGTGTG